AATCAGCAAAACTTTCCCATGGAAATATTTCCTATAGTTAATTTCAAACTCTATAAATATTGTTATAAAATTTTAGCCTTTCAAGTCTATCTAGCCCCTTAACTTTTCAAAGTCAACATCCCAGTCCCTCGTTTGCTGTATTCCAGAAATTAATGTTGCTTAAAAAAAAACCTGAAGCTTTCATAAAATATGTTTCATTCAGGACAGGAGGAAATTCTCCCAGTGTAATAAACCTTTTCCCTTGGAAAGTTCTTAACATCTAGAACATCAATAACAAGCATCTTCCTAAAGCAGTTGTAACAGGAAATGAGTGACCCAGAGTTTTTTTTTTAAAGCTCTGAATTACAGCTTAAGCAGGATGTTTTTCCTCTGATTCCTACAACTCTCAAACTCACTATTTTATTATCTCTTTATGATTACTATTTTATGATCTCTTCACAGAGAGATTTTGTACAGAGCAATTTTGTGGGTGATCCTTGGGTCTCCTTGATCTGGAGAGAGTTTACGAGAAGCCAATCCACACACTAGCTCCTTTTATTTGCCATGGTTGTTGGCTCCAAAAAAGTTCAGCCTTCTTCATATGCCATCTCTCTTTCCATACAAGACTCTTAATTTATGCTGCATGGTTCTAAATGCATTAGAATGTAACATTGTATGCAGATTTGAGTATACAGCATACAGTATTAAGTTATATAATTTTCTTGAATAAAGGATATTTTAAATATTATCCTTTTATGCATCTGAAATTAAACTCCATTATTTGGCCTATGTTTCAAAATTAATTGTTAATTAATTAATTAATTAAAGTATTAAATTATATTTTTACAATGGAGTAGTTTTTGCCTAATTTTTTTTTAATTTTTTCACAATTAATGGGAAAAATCTATGGGCAGGATCTAAATAAGTTCTTAGGCTTATATAATGAACTTGTACTATACCACTTTTTAAAAAATGTTTTATTGCAAGAAGTGACTCACAACCAAACAAGCCTGTTTTGAAAGACATATCATTTTAAAATGATTTGCTCTGTAGTGAGAGCACTATAAAAAGAAACAAATTAAAACCCAGAGCTCCTGTACTGCAGGATGGAACTTAATGGAATGCAAGTTTAGGTCCTCTTTTATGCTACCAATGTGCTTTTTCTTTAAGTTTCTTTATTTAAAAAGTAAATCCACACTGTACAAGAATTGCAACATCTGAAATGAATAAGAACAATTTGCTATAAACTAAAGCATTAGCACAGAATGCATTCCAGAATACTGTACAAGAATCTTGCATTTTATTTTCTACTATTAGTTGCTTAATAATAACTTCTTAGTGTACATTTAGATTCAAAGGAATTATAAAACCAGCATTTTTATAATTACTATAGCTTTTAACCAGCATAACAATATCATAGAAAATAAAATAAAATTTAGAATACCAGCCATTGATGGCACAGGGCCTGATTATCTGGATTGTCCATCTCCAATAATTTCTCCTTGCCTAGTACAGTCAAGCAGAATAGGTATGTTCCGGGTCCCTCAATTAAACAACGTTACCCTGTAGGACTGAGAAAGCAAGTGCCTCTATTCTCTGGAACAACACCCCTCTCTCCAGAAGCCCTCATTCACCTGGGGTTTTGGAAGGCCCTTTAAGATCTGATTGTGTCCTGGCGGGGAGGGACGGGGCTGTCATACATTCATTGGTATGCTTCCTTTTGAGTAAGGCTGCCATGTCATCATGTAGCCAGCATGAAAATACAGAAACACAGTAACCTTTCCACCAAAGCAGTACCTATTTATCTACTCACATTTGCATGCTTTCCAACTACTGTAACATCTGAACCTAGGTAAACGGCTATTTATTTAAACTATGACTAGAAAGAACCCTACAGGATTTAAAACTACAATTTGATAATTTCCCCAACTACAAATTAAAAATAACAGCAAAGCTTCTGTTTGTTCATCACGCAATATTGAAGTTGAACTAAATATTTTAACTAAAATCAAAAGATTACCACTAATAGTCTGGCTTGTTAAAGAGTAAATTAGTTGACTGTAAATTCTATCCCAGGTCATTCTCATATCAAGATATCTATACCGAAGCATAGCCATGCTAGATATGAATTTTGTTTGCCGGGGGTGGGGGGAACCCTCACCCCTCATATACAAATTACCCTAATATATTTTTTAAAATAGATTTAAAAAGTAAGTGAAAATTTAAATACAAGAGCATTAAATTTACTTTTGAATAGTTGGATAATTCTAAACTATACAAATGAATTGCTTTTGTAGATATATCAACTACTTTATGCTTATATTATTCTTATTTAATCTTAAACATACTAAAGTACATAGTAGAAAATAATCCCTGAGATTCTATCCTAATGTAACATTGGATTCAATAATACATGGACATTTTATATTATATAATTTTATTATCACTCACTTGGACAAAAAGCCTGTGTTAACTTTTAACATACCTAGTATCACCTTTGTTTAAAAGTAATTTTCCCCAAAGCTACAAAACTTATGAATACAAAATCTTTATGAATACACTGCTTTGCACAAACAGACACATGACGTTTTCTGTTCAGACACGGCTGGGGCTACACAGAATGTTATGAGGCAAACACAGAAGCAGGCAATACGTGGCCCATAAGGAGAAAACGTGATTACAGCTACTTTAATTCAAAACAAAATCACAAAACCACAAAAGGAGAAACTAAAGTTCTGGACCCATGCATTACTGACTTCCTTGCTTCACTGGCATATCTCCTGTAGTTTCTTCAATAAAAGCGAAGTGTTCCTAAGCAAACAGCCTGTCCCAATTAATAACTCAATCGAGATTTAAAGTTCCTACCCAACCTTAGAATTTACATATTTACACCATTCTAATATACAGCCCATTGGTTACAAGCTACAGTTATTAGTTATTATGCTTCCTCTGTCATGTGGCCAGCCCTCTACAATAGTATTTCCTCAATGATCCTGATATTTTGTCAGGCATTAAAAACTTGGATATTTACTCCAAGCCTTTGATCAGGTTGACAGATAAATCTATGTAAGACTTTGTTCGGAAAATGTTTGTTCTATTTCTGTTTTATATGCATGTACTGGGATGCATCATTTATCTTTATTATTTGGTGTTGATTATATACAGTATCCAGATTCAGGCAGAATCAGTTTATTTAAATCTATATACATAATAAACAAAACATAATACATTCACACATCATGGTAATGCAAAACAAACCAGATTACAGCATGTGTTTAAACTGCTTGCTAACATTTCTGTTGTTATTGTTGTTACTTTTTTGGTGATTTTGTTTTGTGTTTCTACACCACTCAGAGCCAAACATATAAGGCTATGTAAATTTATCAAATAAATGAACCATATTTTGAGTTAATGTAATGTGTAAACTGCAGTAATAGGAACAAGGCTACTATGGTTTGTTTAATAAACTAAGATGTGATATGTGGATCCAGAAATTACTATTCAGTGGAATTCAAAAGACAGAAGCTGAAGAACTGAGAATCAATCAGAGGCAGAATGTACAGCTCCCACACTGAGAATCTCTCAAGGACAGCGCTGATATTCATTTTCCCTGCTGTATCAAAGAAAAAGACTGAAAAAAAACTACCAAAGTTTTCTGGCAGGAATAGTCCAATAGGACAGTGTATTCTAAAGTGTTCCTCTGGGCCCCAGGACCTTCTCAAGGTGCCTCAAAATCAAAATTATCTGCTAGTCTAGTCTTGAAAAAATAAAATACACAATATTAAAATCCCACCAAAAAATTGTGAGAAGCAGTAGGGCTGCAAAGTGTCCATTTTAATTTTCAATCTGTTAAATATTGATAAATACAGACCATGTAAACAAAAGCTTCTATAATGTTTAAGAGAGAGAAGAAAAGTTAAAGAAACATTGCAATAGGCTGTCCTACTTAGCAAATAAAATAAAATAAAATAAAGCAAATTGGTGTCAGAACCAGTGGTGTGTTTTTTTGCTCACTCGGGCTTGGGCCTTCTTCCCATGACTTCCATTCTTTTAAACAAGGAAAATCTTGGCACGGCTGGGGAAGATGGGCCACAGAGTAGCAGTGGAGGGAAGGAGGAGAGACAAAGGGAGTGCAGGACGTTGAAAAAAAAAATCCTTTCCAGCTGCAAAAACCCAAATGCAGCACTAAAAAAGAGAAGAGGTTTGGGGTGTGTGGGTGTCCTGAAGTTTTGTCCCAAACTTCAATATGCACTTGCGTGTCTCCCTTGAGTTCAACCCACTTCCTCATACTCCAGGTCCCTCTTCTTTTCTCCCCCTTTTATGTAAACACCTCATAAAAATCTCACACAGGCGAAGTCTTGAACGAAACCAGTCCAAATACACCAAAGAGACATTTGATCAAAGCTGCAGGGGAGGGGTAGGCCCAGAGTTTGAGCGCCTGCCTGCAACCCGCCTTCTCCTGCAACCAGTCTTCTCCAAAGGCTGGAATACACAACTTTTTAGGGGTCGCGCATTCTGGGAAGTGTAGTCCCAACGAGAGACGGACGTTTTCTTTCTCTCTGACCGACCAGCTACGAAGGAACCGGGGAAACCCCTCTCCTCCACCTCCCCACGAAACCCGCCGGCCCAGCTGGGGCCAAGTATCTAGCCAAGCGGGAGGCCTTACCGGGCGGCGAGGGCGCCCCGTCGTGTTGGGAATCCTGGAAGTGGACTTGGCGGAGGCTCCCCGCGCCGGGGACGGCGCCCCAGAGGCGGTTGGCGGTGCCCCTCAGCAGGCGGCCACTCTTGCCCGTGAAGGTGGTGAGGTACTCCATGGGGGGGCTCGGGCACCCGTGCTCCGGAGCTAGGGACGAGTTCGGGGAACTACCGCGCTGCGCGGCCCGTGCGCGACACCCTCATGGCGGACTAGAAGCCGAGCTCGGAGCGGAAACGGAGAGTGGCGCGGCCGGGGGAGAAGGGGAAAAAAAAAAGTTAGGCAAAAGTTGGGGCTGACGCCGCCTCAGGTCTCCGGCGCTGAAAGGAATCGAGCGGCGCGGTTATGGTGGGTGTGGCTGGAAGGAGGCGCGGCGAGGCCTCCGCCCGCCTCCCTCGAGTTTCTCAGGCGAAGATCCCCGCAGGGCTGGTGGACACGCGCGTGGGTGAAGGTGAGGACTCTTGTACGCGTCTCTCTCACCAACACGCTCTCTCTCTCTCTCTCACACACACACACACACACACGCCCTCCCCTTAGGAGGTGACTGGACACGTGCGTGGATGAAGGTTAGGACTCTTGCACTCCTCTCGCTCACCCTCACCCTTTCTCTCTCTCTCACACACACACCCCACACAAACACTCGCGCGCGCCCTCCCCTTAGGGGGTGAAGGTCTTCTCTCCCTGCATTTATGGCTTGTGAATTTCTGACTGTGCCTGGAGTGGAATTAGTAACACTAACAGAGTTGGAAGATACCTTTGGAGGTCATCTAGACCAACCCCCCTGCTCACGCAGGAAAGCTGTACTAGGGATTCGAACTGCCGACCTTTCTGATCGATAAACTCAGTACTGAGCCACCTAGTCAGGCTATTAAGACTGGGATTAAGAGAGGGATGGGAGACCACGAATAAATCTTGGGAGCTTGTAAGGCAGCAGAGGAAATCTCAAAAAAAAGTAAAACCTGGAATCCTTCTGTGAAGCTCCCTGGAGGAAACTGCTTCAGTCAGAAGGAGTTGACAGAAAGCTTTTGACCTCAACAAAGATACTGCTCAAATAAAGATGGCACTTTACCCCACTTCATCTCTCTCTGAAATAAAAGGCATGCCCAAAAGGTAGATAAGGTATTTCCATCAGGATGTATTAGGTCGATTTAAAAGTATCTTGTAAACTAAAGCTTACATTGCAAACATAGATAACTGAAATAAAATAAAAGTATATTTTAAGTCATAGCTATCCTAGATCAGTGTACGGAGTATATGTCTCACTTCCACAAAATTCACTATCTTGTAAACTAAAGTTTACATTGCAAGCATAGGTAACTGAAATAAAATATGTTCAATTGACATATTTAGGGACATTTTTGTTATACTCAGCATGATTATGTAACTGCAGCTTCCTAAGAATGTGATTCTATGTGTGCTTACTCAAAAGTAAAAGTGAGCTATGCTGGGGCATGCAGAAGATCTGGTTGTTACCCCAGTATGACGGTGGGAATTAATAATCCTGAAGAAAGCCACTACTATAGATATTATATGGAATATAATTACAACGTCACTCGGGTGGTTGTTTTCTTTTTTTACATACATGAAGATATTCATTACTGATGGGGGCAGATGATAACTGAGGATTTTGAACATTCTGTTGCAATCAGGATGTTATGTTACCCTAATATGGGTGATGGAGTTAACAATCCAGTGGAAAGACATCAATGAAGACATTATACGGACTATAAGTTTTAAGTCATTGATTTTATCTATATAAGGGAATATTTTTTTTTTAGTAGGGTGGGCAGAAGAATAAAGATATTAAGAATTGTTATGCATGGTAATTTTGTAGGAAAGTGGGTGGAGACAGGCTAGTTTATTGATTGTTTAGTATAAGAAAAGGGATGTTTAAGAGATATATTGGAGTGGAGGAAATGGATAGAGTTGAATAAATGTCAAATTAGGATTTATTATATAGTTTCATAGGGGAAGGCTGCTTCGAAATGTTATATTAATATACACAAAAGATTAAATGTTAAATTAGGATTTATATAGTTTTAAAATGGAAGGTTGTTTTGAAATGTTATATTAATATACAGATATATGTATATAGCCTTGATAGTACAGGGGTTTAGTGCACCCTGTAATTAACACAGCTGCCTGCAATTTCTGCTGGTTCGAATCTCTCCAAGGCTCAAGGTTGACTCAGCCTTCCATCCTTTCTAAGGTAGGTGAATGAGGACCCAGTTTGTGGGGGCAATAAGTTGACTTTGTATAAAACATACAAAAGAATGAAGGCTATTGCTTAACGCATTGTAAGCCGCCCTGAGTCTCCGGAGAAGGGCGGCATATAAATCAAATAAAAAAAAAAATATGTATGGGGGAGGAGAAAAAGGGCAGATTATTGCTAAATTGGGAGTCATAATAATATTACTATGCTAAATCAGAAGTTATTATATAATGTTATAGTAGAATGTTATTTTGAAATGTATGGAAAAAGGGGGATATAATAATATTATTAGAAAGAAAGGATCAGTATTTGGGGGATGGAGTAAGGGGATGGTAAAATATTATATAATCTGTTATGAATTTGGATCTTACTTTGAAGTCACAGGGGGATGGGTGGTGAGGGGGGGTTAGGGAGGAGGGAGGGAGAAAAAAGGGGGAAAAATCTGTATTTGAAAAACTTTTTTAATAAAAGAAAAGTGAGACCTTTAAAAAAAAAAAAAGTAAAAGTGAGTTTGGTCAACCTTACTCTATTATTAAAGTATTGCACACTGAGGCTCTGGCTTGAGGGATATGCTGCTATGCCAAAAGGTTCATATAAATAGTCCAAAAGCTTAGCAGCCTTTAAGATAAATTCGAAGGAAGTTAAAGAAGTAAGAGAGAGGAAGCAAGTTATTTGTGTAATAGTTAAAAGAACCTACAGTTTCAAGAGATCCTCCAGAATCAGGTGCTAAAATCAAGTTCATTACTACCCTTAAGAGCTATCAGTAAACGTTAAAGGGAGATGCAATTGGTTGTGCCTTATGAAAAAAGAATGCAGGACTATACTGGTTTTTTAATATATGTCTCACCAATATAGAATAATACCAGACAAAACTGTATTAATGGCATACTGCCCTTCTCTGAGCTACATGCAGAAAATAACAGTAATAATTGACTTTAGTATAATTGCTAAGTTACATAAAAAACAATAATGAAGAAGTATAAAATTTTAAAGTGGATGAAAGACTTTATTCTCCAATACAGTAAATCAATATAGACAGTTCAGTAATTAAGTATGAAGTAGCATTGTCTCCAAACTCAAAAAGCTGTTTTGACTTAAATGAGAAGAAGCCCTGAATACATGCAAGACAACAATTTTAGAACTAAATATAGTCTTTCACACTTAACTCTCAACACCCTGCTACAGAGCCTCAGGAAAATCAAAGGACTAAAAATAGAAGTTGAAAATATGGTTGCATTTGATCTCGCGGCACTCTTTATGTCCATAGATCCAAAGCTAGTGAAAGAATCCACGGCAGCAGTAGTACACAACACACCCAATTTTATCAAAAGATGTCTGACCACTCAACCCAACTACAGCAGAACCAATACAAACTATGAAAAGGATAACTATATATCAAAACATCCAACAGACTATTAAAACGACATGGCATCACCATAGAATACAAATCAATTAAAACATCTTACGTAATCAAAAGATCCAAGACTCGCCTACAACATACAATGTGAGAACTGTAACAGCCACTACATAGGACAAACAGACAGAAGACTACAGAGTACATCCATGAACACCAATGAGCAGACTCAAGATGTGATGAGATTCAAGACATTAATCTCACATTACAAAAACAAACTCAACCATAGTTTCAGCTGGGAATCTGAGCATCCTAGATCAAGTTAAATCCCCAAATGCCAGGGAATTCCTGGAAGTCTGGCAGTCAGACAGACTAATACAATTAATTGCTTTGGTTTTTCAGCTTCTCCATGCTGCCTCACATTTTATATAAATTTAACACATAGCACAAGACATGTTCACAGCAGATGGAGACCAAGGGATACAAGCTTTTTGTTGCTTTGTTCCTGTGTACAATTTCTATGCATTTACAAAGATTTGGAGGTTTGCTCTACCTGTGCCATTTTGGCTATGTTACCCCCAGTCCCCACCCCCACCCCCGATGGCTCTGGTACCCAATTACTTAATATTTGGCTAATTTCAAGACATAAGTGGGATGGAGGGAATTTCAAGGCTATAGACTAGATTGGAAATACAAAGGAAAAACAATGGTATAATTAACAGTGTGGCTGCCTTAACAATTATTATTGTAATACAGAGATTTGTATCATCGTCCAAAACAAAAACCGAAGAATGACAGAGCACAAAATAATGAATGGGGCTAAGAGAAAAACAAGGCAATTTAATTCAAATGTAATTCAAATTGCTACAGTGCATATAATTTTAATTTAAAATTCAAATGAAATTTAAAAGCAGAATATGATTTCCCTCCATATATTTAATATTTTTCTTCTGTCACAATAGTGTTTACAATTAGGCAGAACATTTGAAGGCCTTGAGGCGATACATGTAGCCTTGGAGTTAAAGTTGTGCACTTCTTTATAACTCTTCATAGAAGAAAAGGAGGATAGGTGTAAATACTAAAGAGTTGTACCAGCAAGCAGTTAGTATCTGGAGAGAAGGAAATAAAGTTCAAAGCACAAAAGGAATTTACGCTCATAAAGGAAGTTAACAGCAACAAAAGAGGATAGGGTTTATCTATATCAGTACCAAAGGAAGGAGGGGAAAGGGGATAGTTTCACTTTTGGAAAAATGGTATGGTGATAATATATACTGCTCAAAAAAATAAAGGGAACACAAGCAGAAGACATCCGAGATCTGAATGAATGAAATAGCCTTATTAAATACTTTGTTCTTTACATACAGTAGTTTATACACTGCTCAAACAACTAAAGGGAACACAAAACTACTGTATGTAACGAACAAAGTATTTAATAAGGCTATTTCATTCATTCAGATCTCGGATGTCTTCTGCTTGTGTTCCCTTTATTTTTTTGAGCAGTGTAATTTCCTTCTCTAAGGGGAACTGTGCTGAAATCAACCCAAGAACAACTGACATAACGAGAAACGGGCAGTTCAAAATAAGTTATGAGATGGTTACAGAGCTACCATAACGAAGTTTCAGTCTCAGCTACCATAACGAAGTTTCAATCTTCAGTTATTTTCAGTCACATCTCAGAGTCTTGGAGGAACATAAAGTATCATCTTGAAGGCTCCTTCTATGTTCTTTGAAACATGGCTTGGGACAAATCAGAACGGGCTTATGCCAAACCAACCCAATATCTTTTTTTTAAGAGTTACTACACAATGGACATAATGCACTTTTATTTCTGCAAAGCATTTGCCATCTCCCAAGTGATTCTAGTAGAGAAGATGACAAAATGTGA